GACAGGTGGCTAGCCCTTGGGAACAGCTTCTGTGACTATGCCCTTAGAGAGGCCCTAACTTAACCTCTAGATTCCAAGTGCCACCGATTTCACCTAGTTTCAGTCAGGCCTCTGCTCTAGAGACAAGGAAGTATAATCCAGGGACCCCTGATTCCTGAGCTTACTTCTGTCCTCTTTCAAGGGCTGGTAAGCTTCAGGGGCCATAATCCTGATCTGGAGCATCTGCAGAGCTAGAATGGCTGTACCCACCCCTAGGTCTGCCCTGTCATGCTGCACAGGGGGTGGAGAGCCCTGGTCAGGCCCTACTGACCTGTTCTGCTCTGTCTTGTCAGCCCAACTAATTCCCTTTGACCTTGGATGACATCTGTGGAGAAGGGATGTATGCCTTGAATCACAGAGGACCTGAAGTGGAAGGGAACCTAAATGTCACTTCCCCCTGCTGCCCTGGGTGTCACCAGACTCTTAGAGTGACTCCTCCAGCTGTTGGTTCCTCTGCCTCCCTTCAGGGTCTCAGAAGGGCAGATGCTAAATCACTGCTTTCCTGGGGCTGGGAGGCTGGGCTGAAAGATAAGGAGGTGGAGGTGGGTGGAGTAGCAGACAGACCAGGCAGCTCTTTCTGCTTGAGTATGGCTTGGTGACCAGAGAAGGGAAGGTTTTCCTGTGATCTGGGTGCTGGGACCCAAATCTGTGCTATGGGGAAGTTACCAAGAGCTGTCCTGTGGTCCCAGCTGGAGGGAGTGGTCAGATCTCAAGAGCCATCCCATCTCCTCACCACCCCCCACCCCACCCCACCCCACCCCAGAGACTTAGGGCCCTTGCTCTGGCCCTCTGAGTCTGGTAGCAGAGAGCATTCTGGTCTCTCTGAGCAGAAAAGTCTCAAATGCTTTATGGGGGTCCCTTTGTCCTGTTTCCTCCTAAACTCTCCACCACTGTTGTCAGTGGAGGCCTTACACAGCCCTGCCAAGATAGCAACCTGTTTATTTACCTAAGTGAGGAATGGAGGCAAGGAGAGGTGGAGCTACTGGCTCCAGGTTGCACTGCCAGTTAAACGGGGTAGGAATAAGTGTTTCATCTTCCTAGTTCTTCTGCCCTCTACTGGCTGCTGGTGGAAAGGCTGTGGGAGCAAACCTGAGGCCTTGGCCCTCTGGCTTGTGTGTGTCTGAGGCTCCAACCTGTCATCTATGCACCTGTCAACATGTCAGCTATGCCCACATCTTAAGACCACAGCAGGGTCTGCCATAGTGCCAGCAGGTGACTGAAAGCCATGTCTCAGTGTCTGCCCCCACTTTGAGGGGCTGTCACCCCTCTCATCTCAGTGAGATGCTAATGGAGAAGAGGAAGGTTGGAGTGGGCGTGCTAGAGACAGATAGCAGTCCTGCAGTCCTGAGCAGGCCTGGACTGGACAGGAAAAGCACGTCCTAACCCTAATTGCTGCAGCCTGCCCCTCTAGTGTACGTGGGCCTGTAGCTGCACAATTTGCTCTGCTTCCCTGGCTTGAGCACTGTTTGCTGCCTTCAGAAATGAGCCAGCTCCCAGCCACAGCCTGGGTGGGATGTTACCACTGTAGAAGGCAGGAGGGGGCTCTCCTTTCAGGTTCTGTCTCTTGTTTTTCTCACTCCACAGCACACAGCCTTGGGGGCCTTAAAAGAAAAACCCAATCTCAGTAGAGATGGGAAGCCTGGGTGCCAGCCCTTGGGCATTACCCAGTGCAGGAGATGGAGCCCACCCTGTGGGTCTCTTCCTGCAGGCAGAGCAGGGGGCTTCCAGCAAGTAGAAGAAGCTGCAGGTGGCACTGACCAGTGGATTTCCTGGCCTGGTGCTCAGCATAGCCCCTGGAATAGCCCCTCTGGCCAGCCCAGCCAATTTCTTTCTTTCTTTTTTTTTGTTTTCAGGTAAGGGGTAGGTTTATTCATCGTTCTGGCTTGCACCAAGCCATGTTGGCCCTCCACATGACTGGGAAAGGCCTGGGAATGAGAGCTGGGAAAGAGAAGAGAAGGAAAGAGCTGAGAAAGAGCTAGAAAAGAGCAGAGAGAGAGCGTCTGGGTCTGGGCTAGGCCTTATCTAGGGTATGGGAGGAGAAAGGTGTGGCCACATCAAATTCAGATGTGACCTCAGCGGTTGCAGATATGACCTCTTCCAGGTGTCCCAGTTGCCTAGGTAACGCAGGTACTGGGTGGAGACTTTGCTGCGAGGAGGGTGGAGCCTGCTCACCATCCAGGAGCAGACCTTACATTCCAGCCTTTTAATAATCATGAATAGGGTGCAGATTCTCTCTGGCTACTTCCTGTTGACAAGGGGCATCGACAATAGGGGTAAAAGGCTGGAATTTGGTCTCCTCCCAGGGAAGGCAGTGAGCAGCAGCTGTCCCTTGGTGGCGTGAGTCCTTAGATGAAGTCAGGAGAAGTCTCATGAGGCATTGAGGGGCTGGAAAAAAAATACTAGAGAGCAAATAAATGGCAAGAGGAAGGACTTGGGGCTGAAAATGTTGGTAGAAATATCCCTAGCTACCTCTGACACCAGCGACTAGGTAGAGTAGTCAGGTGACAAAGGCAAGAATATAAATTCCTGTTCAGTTAATAGGTAGACAGGTATAGACATTGGATGGGCAGGCTTCTTTCTTCTACTGACCTCCTGGCTCTGGTTAATTTTGAAAGGGCAGGCACAAAGTAGCTGATGTGACATCATCTCCTTTTACTCCTCTCCATGGTCCCTTGTTCCCCAGACTGGCTGAGTCTAGGTGCTCGTTGCTGGGATGGCTTGTCCTAGTTGGTATTCAAGGAGGTTTAAACTCAAGGCCTGAGCACTGTCCTTGAGCACTTCTGCTCAAGGCTAGTGCTCTACCACGTTGAGTTACAGTATCACTTCGTGTTTGGCTGGTTAGAGATAAGAGTCTTGAGCCATGCTTCCAGCCTGGCTCTTTGCAGGTTAGTTGGGAGATCGAATCTTAGGGATTTTTAGGCCTGGGCTGGCTTTGAACTACAATCTTTGCCACAAAACCCCTTTATTATTTCCAATTAAAGCAACAAGGAGATCAAGTAGAATAAGTAGAGCTTACCTGGTTCTTATCAAGAATTGACTGACAAATATTCTGGAATGACAAAACTTCTTAGATGTGAGAATCTTAGCACAGATATGCCCAATATTTTAGAGTCACGTAGTCAGTACCAGAACACATAACACAAAACACAAAAGGCAAAACTCAAAACCTAAAATTTTGACAACAATGTTTAGACATCTTTGCTAACAAAGCACATCAGATGATTGGGCCTCAGTTACTAGGACCTGTGAAAAGAGCAACTTGTTAGCAAGGCACCTTAGAATAGATGGATGGAGTAGTAAGCTTGGTGGAAGGTTAAGGGTCAGATGGGGCCAAACCCTTAACCCACCATGTGGCACCAAGATGGCAAACTCAAGATGGCGAATTTCAGAAAAAATGCAAAGAAACCCTGAACAAATAGACCAAGCCTACATTGGCTAGCCTTTGAGAAGGAACCTAGAGGGAGGGATCCCCGGGACCCAGCCTGCGTCGCACTCTTCAGGGCACAAGCCAAAATGTAGAAAAGAGAAAGGGAGAGATAGGGAAAGTTGGACATGAATGGCAGAGAGAGAGCAAAGAGAGCCTGAAAGTAAACAGACTTCTGACCATTTACCATTGCAGTGGCAAAAACTGTCTCCATCTGAGAATGGCATAAAAATGAGGCTCTCTGGCTTTCCAGGGAGTGCAGGAGGCATTTCAAAGGGGTTTCACGGCTCAGGCGTGATTCACAGCACCCCATTCAATGTGTAGGAGAGTCAGTCTGGTGAGTGAAGGAGAGCTGACCAGCCAGAAGCAGCGTCCCGACTTCCCCAGAGCCCTCTAGAGAGAAATGGCCAAGCCCCCAAAACCAAGTGTCCTTGGCTTCAGAGGTGACCGGCCTTTCAGCTAAAGGCCATAGGAGCTCTCTGGCGTGGTGCCACGTCTGGACAGAGACTGAGCAACAGAGAGCCGTAGAGAGTAGTTTCACTCACCAGAGTAGAGAAGTGGTGTGGACGTGGATGTGAAGGCCAGCAATGGTATCGATGCGCTGTGTCCGCAGCAGACAGATGGGTTTGCAAAAGGCCCTCAGAACTGTGGGTATTCCTCAGAGCAAAAAGGGAAAAACAAACAGAAAAAGAAAAAAGGAAAAAAAAAACAGAGAGGAATCCCAGCTATCCTGACTTTAAGCTCTTTATCCGAGTCATGGCACCATTTATGTTAGGTTTTTAAAAAGAGGTAGCCGAGTAAGAACAGCACCACGCACGTGGTATTCAGGTAAGGGGTAGGTTTATTCATCATTCTGGCTGGCACCAGGCCATGTTGGCCCTCCACATGGCTGGGAAAGGCCTGGGAATGAGAGCTGGGAAAGAGAGAGAGCTGGGAAAAAGAAGAGAGAGCTGGGAAAGAGAAGAGAAGGAAAGAGCTGAGAAAGACCTAGAAAAGAGCAGAGAGAGAGGCCAGCCAGTTTCTATAGAAAGCCAGGAGAAGGATTTTCTTCCCCCCTTAGGCAGCTGTGTGCTGTATGCCTTTAACAAGTCACTTCCCCTTTCTGAACCCTCAGGCCTCATTCATAAAATGGAATAGCAACCCCATACTCAGGTGGGGTATGGAGTAGCACAAAAGACACGCTACCCCAGTACCCCAGTCTCCCCGCCTGTGTGCTCATCACAGATCATCTAAGTGTTGGCCTCATCCTTACATCCTTACCCCACTGCATTGTGACTGAGCCCTGCAGGGCTGGCTGCTCAGGGAGGCCACAGAGGCCCGAGAAAGGCTGATGGCCCAGGGTCCAGCCCCCTGAAGTCATCCATGGTCTTCATACACTGTCTTACCTTTGAGGGAAAAGCTTGATCCAGCCAGGGAAGGAGAGATGCCCAACAAAGACCAGGAAGGAGCTGGCTTTGGGGAGCAGACAGCCCCCCGAGACTGCAGGGCAGACAATTTCTACCTCCTCCCACCCTCACACTGTCCATGCTTTCTGTAGGACATCTGTGAGGACCCCCGCCTCTTTGTGGATGGTATCAGCTCCCATGACCTGCACCAGGGCCAGGTGGGCAATTGCTGGTTCGTGGCTGCCTGCTCATCACTTGCCTCCAGAGAGTCGCTGTGGCAAAAGGTGAGGCAGGGGAGGGGGGATGTGGGGGGCGGCTAGAGGGCTGCCATCTCAGCCTGACATATAGGACTTTGTGAACAACTGCACCCAAGTCTCATGTAGGAGCAAACATCGGGTTTTCCCTCCTTTACCCGTCAGCTGAGTCCCCACAAACAGGCACTGAGACTGTCTGGAGTTCTTAAGGGGTCTCAGATATGTTCCCTCCCAACTGTTGGAGGCCTAGATCCCTGGAGCAAAACAATGTAGAAGCACCTTCCTGCATCCAGACCACTAACACTTAGGAACCTGCTGTGCGATGAGAACCAGGTTGTGTCCTCCTCTAGGCCCTTGTTTTCCAGTTGTTCAACAGGGCTAGTTCAGATAACTCCGGCTTTGTGATTCCTGGTTCATACCTCTGGATTTTGAATGGGCCCTGGTCCTGCTTCTTAGACTTTAAATAGCAGTGCTTGACTGTGAGATTGCTAAAGCTCAGGGCTCCTTTCCTGGGGAGGTAGGGAGGTTGGGGTGGAGGCCAGATTTGAAGTGTTGGTGGAGATCTGGATTCCCATCCTGGGAAACACAAGTTTTTATTCCTTTCCTGTCTCTGCCCTTCTTACTCTCCCTTCTCAGGGCTGACAGTGGGATTGGAGCCCCAGCCTTCCCAGTTGGAAGCTGTGTGACTCTAGCGAAGCTGTCTCTCAGGGAGGCCTGCTTTTGCAGGGTCTGGCATTGCAGGGTGCTCAGTGGACCGTGGGAACTGTGGCCAGTGTTATGATCCTCTGAAACTGGGTGCTAGAGACAGAGGTTGCTTCCCCTTGTCTGCTGTAGCATCCCTTGGCCAGCAGAGGGCACTGTGCCCTTGACTGAGGCTGGGATTGTGGGAGATGCCCCTGTTCTCACATTGATTGAACAGGATGTGGCCCTTCACAGTGCCACAGTGTCACCCTGGGACCCAGCTTCCGATGGTCCTGTAGAGTCAGGACAGCTGTATGCTGTGGACCCTCGAGGCCATCAGAACCACCACCACAGCCTATAGATGTGGGTTCTGTGTTATCTCTAAGCAAGGACTCAGAGAGGCACTCTTCAGCCCTTCAAGAGCTATCACTTGTGAACTTCCAGGCCTAGAGAGGGTCCAAGCCTGAACCGTTGTTGGGATACATGACTAGTACACATTGCACATTCCTGCTGTTTCCCTCCCTATCTACCTCCTCTCCTTCCTTTTTTCTTTCTTTCCTTCTTCCTTTGTTCCCCCAGTCAGTTGTGGGACTTGAATTCAGGGCCTGGGTGCTATCCATGAGCTTTTTCACTCAAGGCTAACACTTTACCAATTTGAGCCACAGCTCCATTTCTGGTTTTCTGGTAGTTAATTGGAGATAAGAGTCTCACAGACCTTCCTGCCCAGGCTGGCTTCAAACTGAGATCCTCAGATTTCAGCCTCCTGAGTAGATAGGATTACAGGCATGAGCTACCAGTGCCTAGCTTCTTTTGTTTTATTGTAGTGCTTGTACCGGACTTGAACTCAGGACTTGGGCACTGTCCCTTAGCTTTTTTGCTCAAGAATGATACTCTATAAACTTGAACTGTAGCTTCACTTCTGGCTTTTTGCTAGTTAATTGGAGATAGGAGTCTCAGAGACTTTCCTGCCCAGGCTGGCTTCAAACAATGATCCTCAGATCTCAGCCTCCTGAGTAGCTAGGATTCAGGCATGAGCCACTAGGCCCTGGCTTCCAGCCACTTTCTCTGAGTCCCATCCCAAGCTAGCCAGGGTCCAGCTCTGTAATTGCCTGTTTATCTGTTACCTCTCCTCTTGAGGTGAGGTCCCTGTGGGCACACCTGGCCCTGGGTAAAGCCTGCTGATGAGCTTGACAGGGCTGACACAGAGGGTTTGGGAGAGTTTGGGGAATGAGGGCTCCCCTTTTCCCCCAAAGGTTGTTTGATCCAGATTGACAGTTCCATGGACAGCTTCCCTGGCTGGTCCTCCTCTGCCTCTAGTGGGCCATAGCCTAACTGGGGCCATCTGCACATTTGAAGGGGAAAACCCTGCTCCCTGCCACCTTGTCCCTGTCTAGCTCCCTCTCCCCCCACAGCTCCCCATTTAGCTGGTGGCAGAGGCCCAAGGCTTCAGGCAGGAGATTGCATGCTGGGTATCTTCAGCAGGCCTGTTTTGTTCTTTTTTTCTTTTCTTTTTTTTTTTTAAATCTCCTCCTGCAGGGGGCTGGGACTCCAGCCCCGGTGGTCTCAGAGGCTGATCTCCAGTAGTCTGGTCCCGGGGGAGGCTGGGGCAGGGCTGGGCACTCTCAGTAATTACACACTACCCCTGACTGCTGCTATGGTGACAGCCCCTGGGTCCAGGAAGGAGACCCTTGGGAGCTCATTATTGTGTCCTGTGTCCCTGTCCCTGCTGACTGGCTTCTGTTTGTTTTTACCCCTCGCTTTCTTGGCCTGTTGCCCTGTAAGGCCTCCTTGCCCTACCTCCATTTTCTCCATGGAAGGACAGTGGAAGAATCGGGGTGCACAGCCCTACTTCTCACCCAGTTCTACATCCTGGGTGCTGAGCCTCAGGGTCAGGAGTGTCATATCTATGGCATACATGCTCCTCTTCCAGGAAGCCACTCATTTACTCCTAGTCCTTCAAGTAACCTGGGACCAGCAGGCACAGAGTTCAAAAACAGCCAGATTGTTTCTGATTCAATTGGGTGCCATGGTAGTTGCTAGCCTGGGGCTGGTCACAATCTCTCTTAGTATGTACCTCTCAAGGTGTGGAAGGAAAACAAACCCCTGATTTTGAGGGTTCTCTGATACTCAACTTCTGTTCTGCCAGACCCCTCTTGCGGCAAAGGTACTGTGGCCTCTCCACTCCAACTCAACTGTTTTCCAAGAGCCACGAGTGGACTGCAAGTGACCAGGCTCTGTGAACCTCTGTGATAGTTTTCTTGAGCATCTGTTACAGGACTGTTGTGAGTTGCAAGCCTGTTGCCTGCCCCGAGTCTCTGTGTCAGGCTCCGGCCTGGCTGTGGTGTAGGCTGAGGAGAAGCAGTCAGGATCATGATTAGAAGAAAGGTGGAAGTGACCAGAGTCCAGGGAAGGAGTCTGGATGCTTATAGGGGCAAAGGTTGGGGGTGGGCTACGCTGGGACAGGGCTGGGAGAGAAAGGCCTAGGGTGGTGGGGGGGGGGCAGTACTTTTTAAGTCCCATTTTGGAAGTTGCCTCCAAATTCCTTCCCTGTAATATGTGCCAGTTTCACTCTCAGTTTTGAAGCCCAGTCCACTTCAGTTGGGTCCTGGGGAAGAAATATGAAAAAGTACAAAAAGTCTTAGTAACTAGCAGTCTTAGGGGTTTCTGTAGACCCTTGAGGTTAAGGAGGTGTGTGTGTGTGTGTGTGTGTGTGTGTGTGTGTGTGTGTGTGTGTGTGTGTGTGTGTGTGTGTGTGTGTGTTGGTCCTGGGGTTTGAACTCAGGGGCTGGGATCTGTGCCTTAGCTTTTTTGCACACAAAGCTGGTCATTTGAAACATAACTCCATTTGTGGCTCTTGGGTTATCCATTGGAGATAAGAGTCTCATGGACTTTTCCTGCCCAGGCTGGCATCAAACCTTGATTCTCACATCTCAGCCTCCTGAGTAGCTAGTAGTGCAGGCCCATCTTGTTTGTTTTGACGTGTAGTTTTTGCAATTATGCCATAGGTGTTGGGGGGCTTGCATTTCCCCCAAGTTCAATCCTGTCAATTCAGTGTTTGGCGGGTCCTCCGGAGCATCTAGTGACCAAGCAGCATTCAGGATGTCACTGGGCTGGGCCCACTGCAGCCTCTGCCTCCTTCCTCTCCTGCTGGCCACAGCCCTCTCATCTCTCCTACTGGCCCTCCCTCACCCTTATCGGCCCCTCTTCTACTCTGTGTGTGAAGCTCGACACCTTGGTCCTCGGGCTTCTGCCGGCCAAACCCCTCTATCCAGGTGGAGACTGTCCTGCACCTCCTCACCTGGATGCCAGACTCCTGCATGCTTTGGTCCCTACTCTTAGGCTTTTGGACTCTACCAATAGCTATCCTGGCCTGTTACCTGGGCACAAAGTTTCTGCCCCAGGAACCACTGCATTCTGGGAATTCTGTATGTGCATGGCTAACAGCTTCCCCTGCCTCTTCCCTACCTGTGACTCTGGTCTTAGTTTTTGGTTTCTTTTCCATCAGCTTGCACCCTCAACCACCTTAGTCACCTTCTCCTATACTAAAAGCCTGGGCTTAGCACTACTATCCCTGGAGGTCTTCGGTCCTCGCCCTCTGGGGTACTGCTCCCTCCTCAGCCCCAGCACACACCTTTCTGAACTGCATTTGGTCCCTGGCCAGTGCACTATGCTCTCTCCCCACTTGTACATATTCCTTGTGTGTATGTGTGTATATGTGCATGTGTGTGTGTGTGTGTGTGTGTGTGTGTGTGCACATGTGCATATGCATACACCAGTACTAGGGCTTGAACTCAGGACCTGAGCACTGTCTCTTAGCTTTTTCACTCAAGGCTGATTCTCTCTCACTTGAGCTACAACTCCATTCTGTTTTTGGCAATAAGAGACTCACAGTCTTTTCCTCCCTGGGCTGGCTTTGAATTCTGATCTGCAGATTCTAAGATCTCGGCCTCCTGAGAAGCCAGTATTACAGGCATGAGCCATTGGTGTTGGACATGACATGTGTTGGACTCCTTTAGCATGTGGCCCATGACCACCGCTGCTGTCTTATTAATGGCAATCATTCATTCAGCATTCCTGCTGAAACGTACTCGATATGATTCACTTCTGAGGGTCACCCACGTGGCAGGCCTTGTTCTCTGCATGCTGGCTTAGAGTAATGCACAATGTCTCTGCCCTCTCAGGCCTTATGGGCCTGATGTCTTCCTTGGTACCTCACTGTTGTACATGTAGCCCAAGATACTACCAATGTGCTTATATTCATTGAGCAACGAGCCCTGCTTGTGGTGGTGCAGGACAAATAAGCCAGCAGTCAGACTCAACTGGGTGGGTGATCTTACAAAGTATCCCCC